GGGAAAGTTGGGAAAGCTAATGAACAACCCACTGCACCGTGTGTGTGAGTCCTGATAAGAATGAAACCTTACCCTACCCATCACTGCAAAATGTTCTGCAGTGTTTACATTTTTAAAAGACATTGCTTAGTGTGATGTATGAGCTGTTTTCCTCAAGGGGACAAAAAAGAAAGAAAAAAAAAGGATGCAATGTTTTTTGAACATGTAAAAATTTTCCGTGATAGGTAGGTTTAGGGGTAGGGTTAGTGTAAAGGGATATAATATACAGTTTGTACAGTATATAAGTCATTATGTCTACGGAAACAGGAAAACCCAATGTGTCTGTGTGTGTTACACCCAGTTTTGCTTCATTGTTTCTTTTTCTCAGAGCTAGTTTCTCAAAGCTCATTCTCAGCTAGTTTCTGCTTTGTTTAAAATGTGCCGCGAGAAACACTTCGTGCATGTATCTCCTAACAAGGTCACAGAATGTGATACTGTTCTTCCTCCAAAGCAGAAATGATATTGGTCTCAGTGATTCCTTTTATGTCCCAATTTGTAAGGATTGTGTTTCTTCTGAAGTGGGATTGAAAAATAAGATGTCTTGAGCTCTATTCTATTAAATGCACACAGCATTAATGGCATTGCAATAGCCGGCATTCGTCCTTACATTCATCCTGCAATAAAGGATGCACAACTTGCTATTGTTAAACAAATACCTATGGGGAGATGACAGCGAAGTGTCAAAATCAACCTTCAAATAAAATGTTAAAAAATGCATTATATTTTTGAAAAAGAGCTCTTTTCAAAACAAGCATACTGTCTTCAACATGATATGGATGGATGGATGAGTGCAAAACTCGTGTTTGAACGTTCATACAAAGTTCTGTCCTGAAACTCTAACAAAAACATGACTCGCGCCGTTCTCCCGCGGCCCTCACTCGTCTCGCTCGCCACAGTAAACATGATGAATGGCGACTGTAGAACGCAAAAGCCGAATCCCGGACATTTTGGGCGATCTCGAAACACATTTTCGGGCAGACTCATCACGGAGACTCACTAGTAGCCTAGACTTGTTGTTCAACTACTGCGCTCTGTTATCGGTAGGCGTGGCCTCCGATGGCAGCGAAGCAAGTGCATTCTGGGAGTTGTTGTCTTTTATCCACATAAGCCAAAAATACATTTTCTGGCTTTTCTCAGTCTAGAAAACTCCAAATTCAAAAATAATTTCACATTTCTTTTACATAAATGACCCATTTTAAATACACATTCATCTTTCCAGAGGTGAAGTATCCCTTCACTTAATGCTTAGGGCGCAGCTGATTGGTTCCTGCTGTATTGGAAGCCAATGAGCTCTCTGCTCAACCTTCAAATACTGGTGAGCATTTAGTGCAGCAGACTTTCAGAAACACTCCACCTTCCCCAGGTCCAACCTGTATAGATTTGCTTCGGGTAATACATACGCTATATTGTACAGCAGCAGTTCGCCAAGACCAAACATATCAATATTGTCATGTCCGTTACCATGCCAAACACAAGAGTTGTCATGACAGAAAACTGTTCAGTAACCTTCAAGCTGGATTCTGACATGTATAGCTTTTTAGACTTATTTGCTCAGCAATCCCTATATACATCCATAAATGCAATTTCACCCAGAGAAGAGAAGTCATATCAGGAGGGCTTTCTCAGTGCAAAGCTTATTCAATAACGCTGGGATGTTTGCCATCCAGAGTACATTCCTCTGGCTCATTCCTCATCCACTTGCCTGCATGTTTGTTTGTCTGCATCAAAGTACTGTCAGCAGTGGCCTTTGACTCTCCTGGAGAACACCCAACAAAACCATTTACACAAGAAACCTGGACTTATTAGCCAACAATTGCTTCGTTTTATTGCTGTTTAGTTACCGCGTTTTACTGTTCGCATGTGACGTGTGAACCATTTGAACTTCACATGTTTGTCATGTTACACATTTCTTCAGCACAAAGCTGTCTTCATGCCTCACGAGAAAGCCGGTGTTTGCACACCAATCACTTTTCTTTTCTGTCTCTTGAAAAGGAGCTGTCACCGACCCATCACACGCCGCGACGAGCAAACATCACCACACACACCGGCCAGAAAGTGACTGAAACAAGAGAGCCATTTCAAACATTTTCCTTCAGCCGTGACATTGTCGTTTAAAGTCGGGCTACGTTTTCGTTTGTGCAAACTTGACAGGTTTTCAGAAGACTGCAAAAGGCTTCTTGTTGCAGTTGGTGCAGTATTTCAGTGTTGTTTTGGTACTGAACCTGAATTTAAAAGGTACAATATTTGACTTTTTAATTCAAAATTAACTAAATTTGAATGAGTCAATATATCATGAACCCTTTTTCCAAAACATATTTTTTGTGTTACTTGATTCACTATTGTTAAGAAGGTTTCAGCCAATCAGAGAGTCGTTTAATGAATGACGTCGGTCAGAATGCTCCGATGGAGAAGACTATCTCGATCTTTCCTTCAGTGGTTTTACGTGAGCGAGTTAATTACAAGAATGTAAGTTGTTTATTTCCTTTTATCGTGTGATGCCATGCGTTTAAAGCGGATTTGTGTACTTTACTGAGTTATCACAAGCTTGTTGGCTCACCATCGCGGTAGCTCGCGCTAGCGCCTAAGCGCCAAAGTTCATCCTTTATGTTTATATATAAGTAATGCATGAGTACTTTCATAGTGTGAGATATATCTGGATGGTGATTTATATGGTCATTTGCGTTTCATATATATGTTACTGCCTGAAATGACATTGTAATGGCGTCCCACATAACAACTAATTCCATGTGCGTCCCTTGTGGATTATCTAGGAACTGCAATAGCTTTAATAATGTTACCAGTTCTATTGCCTTTGTGAATGTTATTGATTTAGCTGTATCTCTAATATTATTGTTATTCTGTATTATTTTCAGACCACTTACTGTTACCACTCACTGTTACTATTCATCCTGAATCAAGAGTAAACTACAAACTCTGCGTCGTATGTGTTCTTACCGACACACCAGTGCGGATACAAATCCACCTACTCCAGTAATTATCAGTCCTTAATTAATCCTCAAAAACAACTATGGTAAGCCTAAGGGTAAGCCTAGTCACCTTACCCTATAAAGCCCCCTGTATAATATTTGATAAGCAAGTTTTAAGGCCTTGAAATTGTCAGTACAGAATCTACTACATGCCTTATGCCATCTGATTGAGTTTATACATTTTAGCAGGTAAAAGTCCATTTAGTGTCATTTTAAAACGTCTCCCTAGTTCAGATGTATCTTTTTTGCTTCATATGTGAAATCATTTGATTTGTATAAAGTAAAAAAAACAAACAAATGTTCTATTGTTAGTAATATTTCAAGATGAACTTTTAAACTTTTTTTTAATAATTCATGTTAAAATGTGAGTATAAATTATCCAATATGATCCATCAGGCCTTTGAGTAAGTTTTTTATTTTTTCTATTTCTCAGTTAGCATTGTTGCATTGCAATACACAATTGTGTTTTGTTTTTCTTCTCACAATAAAAAAACTGAGCTTCACACTGTTATGAAGCTCTCGTGTTTTACATTGCTTTAATTCATAATAATACTTTTTTTTTTTACAAGATTCTACTTATTTTTAAAGTCAGTTTAATGCAATTTAATTAACATCCAAATTGATTGTATCAAAAAAAAAATTAAATAAATAATAATAATAATAAGGCAGCAGTTTTTTTGTGTTTGCTCTGAATTTTCTGCCCACCCTGAATCTCACAGTATCCATGAACAGATGTGTATGTGTTATGGGTGATATCCTACAGTTTACAGTTACACTGTGTAAATAAGACAGCGCTAATCCCACTGAAAGTCAGTCTAATGAACGGTTATTGAGAGGCTTTGTATATATCTGTATCTTTCTTTATTTGCACAGCCTTGTAGCCAATAACAACCAGCTTCTTCAGAAAAAAAAGACAAAAAATATATATTCTCTGTAAAGTCGAACTAATAATTATTTCATACAATATGGCAGGAGTATAAATTCCTGGATATTTTTTTAACACTAAAAATACCCATGAGTGAGTACTACCAGAGCCCGTCGTCATTCTCTGTACAAACTGAAACCATTCATAAAGTGGATTCATATTACCACTGCTGTGTTTTGGCGCTCTCTAGTGGTTAACATGTGTAAATGATCGTTTGTGCTGCTGTAAATCAAGAGTGAGCTTTATGTGCGCCAGAGCAACATAACCTATGATGTCTTATAAAATGTTATCCAAAATAATAAATGTTAACATAAACATTAACTTAATCTTATTTACTTGAATGTCATACATTTAGTCGTATACTCAAAGAGTTCAGATGATGTTATTATTATTATTATTATTATGTAATTGTTGGCAACATTGTTTTTAATGAGGAGTATAATTATGCTAACACCGCATTAATAAAATATAGCATAGGTGTATAGTGCGTGGACTTAATATATAAGGAATAGCCATACAAAATACTAGTTTTTGTTATCAGCCATTTGCATTAGCAAACAACAGCTACAAACACATCGCTGGGGACAAACCAGAAGACGTCATTGGGAACAAATAGGCTATTTTTCGGTTTTATATTAAAATATGATATACTTAAAAACATGTTTTAAAGCAAAAGTTAGTTCTAGCGTTTCATTCAAGTCACTAAACACATGAGGGACTAAAGGCATTTTACTGGAATGACCTAAATGTAAGTTAACGATAACCGTACAACTCTTTACTAAGAGTCCTTAGTGTTTGATTAACATAATTACACAAATAATTAGCCTACATGACGTACTGTAGCGTACCGTTGTGGAATCCACCACTAGCACTTCGTTTGCTGTTGTTATAAAGCCGCAATATTTTGACGAATTTCTATTGGCTACGCTGTGTCCCCGCATTTTCTCATTGGCTATTAGATGCGTCAGTCTTTTTCTGATTGGACAAAGGTGTCAGCGGTTCATCTGCACTGAGACGCCATTGGCTCAATAAGTAGGTTAGTGGTCCGCTAGTTATTAGATTGAGAGGAAAGTAGGTCATAGCGAATAATGCTGATACTGTCCACATTCGCTCGATAGCGTTCCTGCCTTCTTAATGTAAGTAAGACTATGTCTTTTGTCATGTTTGACCTCTAAACGTGCTAAACTGTAACGTTATGCTGTTTATATGCAAATATTGCTGTAACGTTACGTCTTTATTAATTCGCTAGTCTCCACGAGGTGCTTTAAAGTTTTTTAACATCTCGACCGGTTATGCAGCAGTATCATTTTAAAATGTATTATCTCGGTCACGGCTCATAAAAATGTGTGTGTTCATGTGTTAGTAGTACTACAGAAACCTAACTTACATTTGCTTCTCTAACTCATGTCAGATTATATAAGGTCAGTAAGAAGTGAACGAACGTGTTAATTACGCATCACTACACACGAATGTGTCATATTTCTGATGAATAACGTTACATCTTGGTTTAAGCCTTATGCAAGTCTTTGGATAGATAAATACATTACGTGCACGTGCTTTCGTTGTACTGCGTGTCACGAGCGCTTGCTCTTACCCCTCTGTATGCGCGAGGACACTTTAAACTCTCGTGCACTTTTCCTAAGGTAACGTTAAACACAGAAGCTGTATCCCGAATCCCTATTAGCTGACTACTGGTGGCTACATAGGCAACATTTGATAGTGTTATTGGAGCTTGCAGCATCATTTTTCATCATTCAGCAGCATCCCTTTGAGCTTCAGGTGCGTGCAGATGTTTTGGGCATCATCATAACATTTTACCTCTACTACTTTGTACCGCAGTTTTGGGGATTATTAGACATCACGGTCAGGAATGAGTGTTTTTTAGGGAGCTCTTTTGGGAATTAGTGTATGGAAGCTTGCCCCACAGGATTAAAAAAATAATAGTTGTGACTTATCTAAATAACTTATCACAATTCTGAGTTTAGCTGGCAAGTCTGATATTTACGAGATATAAACCAGAAAGTGTGAGAAAACAAGTCAAACGTGTGAAACTGCAAGGAAAAAGTCACAGTTGTGTGAGATAAAAAGTTGCAATAATTGAATTCCGTAGTGAAAAAAAGCTTCCATTTTTTTATATTTCACTGTTCTGACTATTTTCCCCGCAATTCCGAGTTTAAATCTCACAATTATGAGAAGAAAAATCAGACTTGCGAGTAATAAACTTGGAATTGTAAGAAATTAACTCGTAATTGCATAATTTAAACGTTCTATTGTGAGAATTATCTTAGAATTATGAGTTATAAAGTCCCAATTGCGAGATATAAAATTGAAATTTTGAGAAAAAATTCAGAATTCTGATATAGTATAAACTTGCAATTCTGAGAAAAAAACAAATCTGAATTCTGAGATATAAACTTGCAATTGCAAGAAATATTCTATGGCGGAAACAAGCTTCCATATCAATGTGTAACATCATCATACTTGTGTATTTATAGATCACATTTGTTTATTTACACATCATACTTACATTCAACATTTTGAGCACTGTTTTCATTTCATTTCAAACATTTTTTCTTTTGTCAAATCAACTTAAATAATTTATGTACTTCATATAACATAATATTTTGAGTTTCTGATGATTAAATCAATCTCCTTAATTGTATTAACACAATTTTTCCATTTTTTTAAGGTTATTAAAAAAAGTTATTAAGTTACTTCATTTTTTTTTTTTAAGTTAACAATATTTTTTTTTTAACTTACAGTGTAGGGATGTGCAGTTTTTGGTAACAAAGATACTTACAAAGGATGGTTTTAAGAGGTGCATGTTGCATAATTGAATTTTGGAACTGTTAATTCATCCTTTAAGGAGTAGTTCACTTTTAAAAAATCTTTTGCTGATAACTTACTCACCCCCATGTCATCCACGATATCCATGCCATTCTTTCTTCAGTCAAAAAGAAATTAAGGTTTTTGATGAAAACATTCCAGGATTTTTATAATGGACTTCAATGGGAACCAAACGGTTGAAGGTCCAAAAGAGAGTTTCAGTGCAAACTGCAAACTGTTCAAACAATACCAGACGATGAATAAGGGTCTTATCAAGCGAAATGATCACTCATTTAAAAAAAGAAAAACAAAGTTTAAGTTTTATAAGCTCAAATGCTCGCCTTGCTCTGTTTTGTGATGCGCGTTCGTGACTTTCCTGTTCAAACTTGTTTATCAAAATGAACGAATCTTTTTTCTTGTCATTTGGTTCATTCAACGAACGAAATGAACAAAATGACTCAGAAAAAAATTTGAGTAAATTATCAGCAAATGTTTTTTTTTTAAAGTGAACTACTCCTTTAATCACCAATATAAAATCCCAAAGCAAACCCAGCCGAGAATTAGTTTGTTTCAAGATGTTTCTCGACAATTATTTGTGGAGTTTCATGCAAGACAGCATCACTAAACATCACTCATTTAGGCACCATATGTGCGTGCAGCTGTTTTTTCTTTCTTTCACTGATGTTTGGGGAGCACATCACAGTCAAGAATGATTTTAGGCAGATGTTCTGTGATCAGTGTTTATTCAGCAAATGTTGGCTGAATATAATCTTAGCTGTAGCTGTGTTCAACATTTTTGAGCTTGTACGGTAAGGCATGTGCAGTTTTTGGGAGCAAAGATACTAACAAAGTATGCATTTTTTTTTATACATTTAGTATTTTTGAGCATAATAAACACAACACATGCAGTATTTTTGAAACATCTTTGGTATGGTATTTATTTAGGTATCATATTGCATACAGCTGGTTTATGGAAATCATAGATGTGTGCTCAACATTTTTGGCATAATAAGGGCTGCAATTCTTGGACATCATGTGCACAGGTATTATTTTTGAGGCCAAAATGATGCATTTTAGGCAAACTACAGTGTTTTGTAGTAACTTCATCTGCACATTATTGTGCTTGTGTTGTAAAATGTTTGTTCGATTTTTAAGGACTTTTCTTGTTTCTGTACAATAAACAATTCGGAGTCACGATTTATATTAGGTGTACTTGCATAAAAAATAATTATTAGGTAGTATAGTGTTCATGTTGTATCACTAAACACTTACGGGTAAGGTTAGGGACAGGTTTGGTTGAATGGGAAGGGTTAAGGTGTAACGCAACAGTCAACAGTGTGATTAGATGTAAATCCAGAAATTAATTACAGCTGTAATTACATGCAGGAATTTTTTGGTTGCACTTTATTTTACAGCACTGACGTACTTATTTAAGAAAGTACTAGGTGATATAAGGCAACTATATGGGTTAAGGTTAGGTTCAGGGTCAGAATCATTATTGCAATTACTATAATAAGTACATATTATGTAGGCTAGATGCAGAACAGGAAATAAAGTGATACTGATCATTTTTAAATATGAGTACAATGTAAATTGTAAACATGTATGTACACAATGAGTGCATTGTAGCAAGTGATTAAATGTTTGTACTTTGTACATAGTAGTAGTTAAATAGCTTACATTTAATATAAAGTGGGACCGAACTTTGGAAATTAGTTTGCCACTTGATGACAAATCCTAAGCAAAACTAGTTGAGAATCTCTGTGCTTGAGTTCAATCACAAGCAGCTGATTTTATGTTATTGTAAGATGTTTCTCATCAGCTCTGTTATGGTAAGACATGTTAAAGGGATAGTTCACTTTGAAATTAATTTTTGATATGTTTTAGCTTACTTCAAGGGCATCCAAGATGTAGGTGTCTTTGTTTCCGCAGTATTTTCAATTTTGACATTTTTCGTTAAAACCATTCTTGTCTGTTAGTCATATAATGGAGGTCTATGGTCACCACCTCAAAGAGCATGCACAGAGAAGTCCAAATTAAACATGATTTAATGACTCGTAAATGTAAGTACACATTGATGGCCTAAGACACGAAACGAGCGGTTTGTGTGAGAAAACGAACAGTATTTATATCATTTTTAACTCGTGTAACCACAGCCACGTCCAAGTGATCTGAATCAGTTATCCAATGTCCAACGTTCCGCCGGACGTGATCTCTTTAAAGTGAGCACTTTAACAGAAGTCATAAATTAGTGGTGAATTGTCTTTGTAGTAAATGAAAACCCAAACCGTAAAATTTAAACACATATTCACACAGATTTATAAAAATTCTTATATACTAGCAGTGCTGGGTAGAAACTTATTGCATGTACACTGGATTACGTAGTCAGATTCGGTAACGCTTTAGATTACAGCCCGGAAAGTACTGCGTAATTTTACAATTAAAGCGATTTTACAGCATAATCTTCGGTAATTATAGTGTACCTATAGCGTACTTACAATATAAGTATAAGGGAACAAATTTTGAAGTCTGGGGAATAAAGGGGTAACAACAACCAGGAGTATTAAAAAAATTGTTTATACTGTAAGTATTATAGAACTAAGGGGTACTTATTCTACTCTTTATGATATAAAAATTTTACATTTGGGAGCAATTTAGCAAGAACATTCGTTTTTGAAATAATGGTGTACCAGTACATCCTGTATAGGCTTTTTAAAAATTACAGGGTACATAGCTATGCATTTGTAAAATAATTTTTTTAACAAAAGTGCACTAAAAAAATAAAAACTATTGCAACTTTTGCTTAAATATTGGGGAAAGATACTCTTGTTCCGTGTAGTTACAGTACAATAAAAATGCATACACACAATCTTATTTCTACACAACTCTACACCCATTCTTATTGATACACAATTGCTACAAAAAGGTACGCAGTGAATGTTCTCGCTAAATTTCTCACAAATGTAAGATTTTTGTATCTCAATAGTAGAATAAGTACACCTTTAGTTCTATAATACTTACAGTATAATTTTTCTTTTTAATTCTCCTGGTTGTTACCCCTTTATTCCCCAAATTTTACATATTGTTCTCTTATACTTATATGTAAGTACTTTATGGGTACACTATAATTACAGAACTTTACACTGTAAATTCCTCTTAATTACACAGTACTTTCCGGGCTGTAATCTAAAGCGTTACCTCAGATTCCTGTATTTAGATGCTTGTAATTAATTTCATTACGTTTTAAAATACTCAGTAATCACACCAGTACATTTTTTTTTAATGATTACATGATTATGTTATTCTCACA